GTCAATAATATCCCCTTAACTAGGATCATGAATAACCTAGCGTTTGGGCAAAGTCTCCCTTGTACCAGGCACTCTCAAACTCATAACATGTGTACATTTCTATCACAGGACCATTTCAAGGTCCAATATACATCAATTTATCCTTGATTTTACTCCATTTACATCCTTGAAACAAAAGAACTTAAGGCTCAAAGGCTTGACAAGATCATTTTCATTTTCTAAAAATTATAGGGGACCTACTGGTAGAAAAACAACGTTTTACCGGTAAAAAAACTCACTAGAATACTTCTACCGGTAGATGATCAACGTTTTATCAGTAAAAGAGCTCACTGGAATTATTCTACCACTAAAAGATCAACGTTCTATCGATAGAAGAGCTCACTGAAAAATTTCTACTGGTAGGTTATCAACGTTCTACCAGTAGATCATCCCAGTTTTTCCCCGATTCAATCATTTTTCAACTCCAACTCTTCCAATCTTATACAACAACAACCTAAACTCATATACATACAATTTTATACAAGACATAGTCCATATGAGTTTGTTTTACCATCCTTCACATAATATTACATGTCTAAAAATTAAATTATATATTTGTTTAACAAAAACTATAATTTAAAGCCACGTCTCGCTTTTTTTTTTTTTTTATCAATGAGAGCTCAAATGAAAGTCATCTACTGGAATTTCACCACTTTTGGTGAAGATCAATGTCCCATAACACATGCAAGCCCAAATGAGAGTCATCCAATGACCATTAAACTCTCGAGTCTCTTTTGAGGTGGGCATTTATTGACTTCCACCAACAGGCACCAAATTGACACGATATTCATGGACTTCCACCAACGACTCCGCGTACGCCGTCACACTTTATAGACTCTACACCAACATAGTGCATGTCCAAATCACTAGGTCTTACACTCAAGGGGACAGTCTAGCTCTTCTTGCTAACGTCAGTCTTATTTTCAATGCAACTCGTGCGACTCAGTCGAATCTTAGTCCAACTTTTTCAAGCCCACGCATCCTTCACTAAGAGTGGTGTTTAATCAAAATCATGCACACACCCACACCCACACCCATGTCACATGCCAGTGAATGTGATGATTCCCATGTATATGCAAATCTAATGTACAATTATATTTTTCAATATCAAGTTCAATTTGTCATGAGCACATTATGAACTAGGTTCAATATACATTAACATTTTTTATGGTCAATTACATCGTAAGTATATAACCATCATCAACAACCTCACCAAAGCATGTTATAACATTGTCAATGCTAGTAACACACTTAATTAATATAGACATTTCATCAAACACCTTCAAAACATAATTTTAAATACATCGCATGTCTCTTTCACCACACATCTTAAGAAATCACAAACAAGTAATTTCAACAATCCAATTTATGTTAGAATTGATTTTAACCATTTTTACACCCATATTCCACATTTCAACTACTATAGGTATGTTCAATACACGAGATTACATCTCTAACACCCTACCTATTTCATATTTCAACTCTAGGTTGAAAATAAACCTAGTTAAGAAAAGAACTCTACCTCTTGAAGTGTAATTTGAGTGGTAGAAAACACCCAAAAACTCAAATCAAGCATTGAAACTTAATTTTCAAAAACTTCATCTTTTGGATTTTGTCAAAATCCATGCCTTTTGGTACATAAACATAGCTCTCATCGTGTATATGAATTTGGTTCTTGGCCCGAAGAATTCCGACCAAAGGTTGGCCCTAGATCGTAAAGAGAAATTTAAGAAAACCCTTGATTTTTCCCTTTCCTCTCTCTTGTCTCTCTTTTTCCCAAAATCTGATGACTAATGGAGAGAAAATATGATTTCTCCCCTATTTATACCCCTTAGATACTTGGCTCTCGTTGTGTCATACATCTGTCTTTCCCGAGTCTGATTTCATGCTAAATCAATTAAATCTCGTTCCGTTTCAAATTCAATATATTTTTATTTGAACTAGCTTAAATTAATTTTTACGTTTCACAATTTATTCCCGATTGCATTTATTTTGATCACGTGACATTCAATCGTCTTGTAAAACGCGAAAAATCTAACTGTTTCAAAATTCAACGAAAATTGACTGAGTAACTAGATTTCGCAAGAAGAATCCAATGGTGAGATCTATTTTTATCATCCAAGTTCTAAAAAATTTTGAATTTATAACCCGTACTGTAGCATCTAATTATTGTTGTCCTATTTCAAAAAAATTTCAAATTTTCTCGAGTTTTACATATTCGCTCCAAAAAATCATCGGAACCCTCGTAACAATTAGCTTCAAAGGCAACAAAACGAGCTCCATATTCTCTTGGAGTCCCCTTTTATTCATTGGGTTCCACCTTGGATCTTTTGTGTTATAGGTTTGGTAGATCTATAAGATCTTTAACAATCCTTTCTCAAATTCTTATGGAATTAGAAGTTGATCTTGTAGGGATTGAATTTTGATTAGAGCTAGGATAAGTTCTCTCAAGTCTATGAAGTCTCTATTAAACCCTAGAGCCTCTCTTTAATGTTTTTGGACGTCTCTTAGGCCAAAAAAGTTGTTCCCCTATTTGTAAGAATAGGAAATAAGATGTTTGTTTGGCGTCAAGAAAAGTCTATCCGCGATAAACTACTCAAGTGCTATGGAGCGCTGATCACTAGAATTGAATTTTGCAGCCATTTTTCATGGATCATTCAAGTGCTCTAACGAGCATTGGCTACTGGTTCTGCNGAAAAATCTAACTGTTTCAAAATTCAACGAAAATTGACTGAGTAACTAGATTTCGCAAGAAGAATCCAATGGTGAGATCTATTTTTATCATCCAAGTTCTAAAAAATTTTGAATTTATAACCCGTACTGTAGCATCTAATTATTGTTGTCCTATTTCAAAAAAATTTCAAATTTTCTCGAGTTTTACATATTCGCTCCAAAAAATCATCGGAACCCTCGTAACAATTAGCTTCAAAGGCAACAAAACGAGCTCCATATTCTCTTGGAGTCCCCTTTTATTCATTGGGTTCCACCTTGGATCTTTTGTGTTATAGGTTTGGTAGATCTATAAGATCTTTAACAATCCTTTCTCAAATTCTTATGGAATTAGAAGTTGATCTTGTAGGGATTGAATTTTGATTAGAGCTAGGATAAGTTCTCTCAAGTCTATGAAGTCTCTATTAAACCCTAGAGCCTCTCTTTAATGTTTTTGGACGTCTCTTAGGCCAAAAAAGTTGTTCCCCTATTTGTAAGAATAGGAAATAAGATGTTTGTTTGGCGTCAAGAAAAGTCTATCCGCGATAAACTACTCAAGTGCTATGGAGCGCTGATCACTAGAATTGAATTTTGCAGCCATTTTTCATGGATCATTCAAGTGCTCTAACGAGCATTGGCTACTGGTTCTGCCTTTTTATGCTTAGTCCATTTTCTTATATCTCAAGAGCGCTATCCAAACCAATGTTATATTTCAACCCTCCAAATAGTCAAATACCAAGAAGTGACAATGAGAAAATCTCTAAACCATGACTTGTTTCAAAATACATTTTCAATTATTAAGCCCTANTAAATTATAAGTGGAATCCTAATTAAATTAATTTCAAAAAAATTTAATTTCTCAAACATCACTAAAAAGTCAATCTCAATCACAAAATTCTAAAAAAAAAAAATTTTAACTATTGTTTTATAGTTAGAATTTTTTTTTAGGAATATAAAAAGATTTCATTAACTTATAATAGAATATGAGTAATAAAAAATTAAATTTGATAAATTTAAGATGATATTTAATTTAGAAACACATATACTTAATATATTTTATTAATTTTTGTGTACAAAAATTATTCACGTGCAACAGACGTGGTGTATTACTTGTCTCTATAAATGCGTAAGGTAGAGGAGATTTACATGGTATAATTTCAAATGTTAACAAGTCTATTATATTTTTTGAAATAGAATGGGTTGTCCATATAATTGCATCAACTTTTAGCCGTTTGTGAGAAATTTACCTTTTTGTTTTTTTAAGTATGGAGAAAACATATATTTATTTAAAGAACATATACACCATTTTGGATGGATATATCTTTAATACAAAGATTATCACATTTTACAACATGTTTAACTAATGAATTTATTGTTGTATTACCTTTAAGGGTGTCAAAATAGAGTAATGTTGACTAAATTTTGGGATCAAATTTGGAATCCAAATGACATGACAGTTGATTATTTGAAGTTTTTATTGGTGCCCAAATGACATCACACTAATCAAAGAAGCCCAAGTCAATTGTCATGTCATTTGAGGTCTAAATTTGGTCCCAAAAATTGGTAAGTCTAGCATTACTGGTCAAAATATATCACAATTCGTTAATACGACATAAAATTAGAGGGTTTAACTTTTCTTTAAGTCACTAGTTTCATAAACGAGTGCACCCGACATGACATAATTAATAAATAAGTAAGATATAAATGAAGTCAATTAAAAGAAATACATGACACTTCTCGTGTATATATCAATTATACATGATACAAATCTGTGATGACACTATTCGTTGAATATGAATTATTAAACGAATTGAGGATGAATGAAGTGTTTTTTTGACATGATCCTGCAAAAATCACAGCCGTACAAGCCATCAATGCAATACTCCAAATATTGGAAAAAACCTTATTGTCAAATTATAATTTTTATTCCTGTTAGAATTTTTATTTTTTTGCATTTTTTCCATTATATGCCCAACTAGAAAAAAGAAATAAGAACTCAATCGGGTGGGTTGGTGGGAATCGGATGATGATGATCCGACGGAAAAGATGCTCCGAATTTCAAATCCAATGGACAACGTGGCAACTGCAGAAGTGTATCCTCCACAGTACAGGTACAAACTAGCCGAAAAGAAAAAGACTTCACACCTCAGAAAAGTTCAAACAGGGGGAGAGAGAGAGAGAGAGAGTTCGCAGAAACCAAAGAAACACCTCCCAGATGAAACAAACGTTCCAAAACTCTCGGTGAATTTACCATGTTCGCGAAGCGCCTGATAGAAAAAGCCTCACACCTTCATCATCGTCATTCCCATCTTCAGGTACGTTTTTTCAAACGATCAATCTCAGATTCTCATACGTTGGCTTCAGAATTTGACTAATTCAAATACTGATGATTGAGCTGCATCAAAAGTATAGAGTGAATTGAATTAGTATTTGTTGAATCTGAACAATCCAGTACGTGTAAAGGTGCAAATAATGAGGGACAAACAAACAATCAAGGATAATTAAGAGGAAAACAGTAAATAATTGATCAACACAGGGATTAATAGTGGTTCGGTCTCGGATGATCTACTCCACTTTTGGGAATGACAACGGTGGCCTATGTTCTTTATTGATGAATGATAGTACTCCGGAGAGATATAATGCTTTTGTGGAGATAGAGAGAAAGAGAGCAATGAGTGTAGGGGGTGCGTAGAGGTTTCAGAGGCGTGCCCTCAATGTTGAGAGGGCTTACATTATATAGGATAAGGCGGTGACGTGGGTGAGTGGACTTCTACTACTTTGGTAAGTATAGTTATGGTAGGAGATCTCTGTGCTTATCCCAATATTTACTCCCTTGTGCTCCTATTCTTTCGGAGGAGGACTCTCAGCTGGATTGGACTTGATCCTTGTCTTGAGTTGGTGTGACTTGGACTTGGATTGGAGTTCTAAGGTGAAGAGGAGCAAAGAGGGAGGCGCCCAAGGGGCTGCCATGGGGGGCGGCGCCCAAGGGCTGCCAAGTCTCTTGGGCGTTGGCCTTGGGGTTTTGGGTGTTGACCTCTTGATGTCTTACTTTCCAATGGGTAGATCCAGTTTCGATTTGGACTTTCCATCGAACTTTCTCGGATTGTTTTCATTGGGCCTAGCCCAGTCAAATTTTTGCTCATCAGAATCAGTCATGGCTTTGCCATCAACTCGGGGCGCGATCACACTTACAGTTAAATGTTGAATGAAATAAGGGAGATTATAAGAAATGTTACAAGTAATTGCGATGCAAAGTTGCTTGAGTTGTGAATTATGATCTAAATTACCGAGCAGCTTCGAATTTTTTTTATTAATTTTGTGCTTTTTTCCTATGTGAATAAGTTTAGCAACTTTTGCTTTTTCTGTATTCCCTTTTCTGATGCTTAATTAGATGTTGTTTGATGTATTTTATGATGTTCTAATTCATTCTTTTCAATACAGGATAATGTGAATGGTTTGAAATCAGCGGACATAGATATCCGAATCTCTGTTCATTATGGCATCCCATCTACTGCATCAATTCTGTCTTTTGATCCCATTCAGCGTATATTGGCCATTGGGACACTGTAAGTGAGATCACTGTAATTTTTCTTTTAATTTATTTTATCAAACACCAATCATGTGTTTTAATGTTAAATTTCATCGAAATGTAAAGTAGGAGCGGCATTTAGCCATTGTACCTAAGAGCGACTAGTGGTACTATTCTGAAACTAATTCTGCTATTTACTGTGTTGGTGAGTTGGTGTATTAATTTAGTGTCGTGTCTACTGCCTATGACAGGCTGGGTAGTTTTCATCTTATCACCGATTCTGATACTCAGTGATTCCTGCATGTTTATCTCAAATTTCTCACACATTATCACTATTTTGTTCAGTCGAATTAGTTTCTGAACTATCCTGCTTATGCTCCCTAGCACACAAATACACTTCCAATCTTATTGTGGTTTTATACCCAAGATATTTGAAGTTATGATTTGTTGTTACATGAGAAACACTGCTAAAACCAATTAATCTTGATGAAGCAATTCCTAACCAATTAAATTAGCAGCTATGATTGGAGATATAGATTATGATGTTTACTATAACTGGACTTTCATTTAATTGGAGATATGGGGCTGCCAATGTGTTGGAGTTGAGAACAGAAAAGTTAAGGTCGTCTTCTGTTTATCAATGTTGCTGGGACAGTACTGAACAATTTTGCTTCTCGTATGGAGGCAGTTCAACTGCTCTGCTATACTGCTTTTCCTTGTCTTATGAGTGACACTTGCATGGCACTTCACTGCTTGATCTCTGTTCTTTCACTTCATTGGACCATTCACAACCTTGGACTTTGTTTGACTTAGATGCATTATCAACCATGGTTCTTGGCTAGATTAAGTCTTTTGGATCCTGTTCAAAATTATATTTTTCTTTTTCATTTTTGTAAAGGGAAAGAATGATATTTCCATCAACGGCTGTGGATACTTGATTTAAACATCACTAGCAATGATCTCATTCCTAGACTAGATCAATATATGGCATAGCATGATGTTTATTTTGCTTTTGAATTTATTCATTTTCTCCTTATTTGCAGGGATGGTAGGATAAAAGTTATTGGCGGTGATAATATCGAAGGACTTCTAATTTCCCAAAAGCAATTGCCTTACAAATACCTAGAGGTTTGTTTTTCTACCAACTAATTTGGTTATGAAGTTTTCAGATTATTGTAGGAGGTTTACTTCCAATATTCAATGTTGAATAATTCAAGCTTCCATTGGATAATTACAACTGCATGCGTGTTGTGGGTAATGTCCCCTTTCAAATGGTAAATCTTGAATTTATAAAAACAAGAAGTTGCTGTGTTACGCTGGGGCAGTGTTCTTGCAGACATTGGGCTTAAATAGAACTAAAAGGCCAAAAAGGNTGTGGGTAATGTCCCCTTTCAAATGGTAAATCTTGAATTTATAAAAACAAGAAGTTGCTGTGTTATGCTGGGGCAGTGTTCTTGCAGACATTGGGCTTAAATAGAACTAAAAGGCCAAAAAGGGCACTTTTTTATTGCTCAAGAGCTAAGATTTCTATTATTTTTCATATAAGCAGGAAATCCGATGAGGTGAGCTTCATTTACCGTAATCTCGTGTGTACTTTAAAAAAAGAAAATCATATGTGAACTTCTTGATTTCATGCTTTTGGTTATTAAATTTGCTACTTCACCACGTACAGCTTGAAAAAGAAGAAAGCTTTCTTAGACATCACAAATATATCCAGCAACCAAGAAATAATGCAACTTTTATAATTTTGTCCATTGCTTATTGCGAAAAATGTTCCGCAGCACTATAGTTCATATTTATTTAGTTTTTGCCTTCTTTCTTTCAATTTTTGGCAGTTTCTACAAAACCAAGGTTTCTTAGTCAGCATCTCAAATGACAATGATATTCAGGTATTCATTCTGATGGATTGTTTACTCCCTTATAGCTGCATTACTTGTCAAGAGCACTGAGTAACAAGCTTGTCATTGATGTTTTGTTGGCACTCCAATCAAGCAAAGCCTCATAATAGTGACAACTCTGTTAATGTGGTCCTAAACTATGAAAATCACATACGACTTCAGTTGATTAGCGTCTTACCACTTCCTTTTTTGTTACAAGCTTTCATTCCATCATAAATAATTGTCACTAACTGGGACTACGTATTCTTCTCAAGTTCATTCTTGTTTTTCATTAACATTATATGGCTTTTGATGTAGGACAAACTTGTAATCAAATTGTAGAGAGAAAACCACGGATGAGAGAAGAAAGATGAGAAAATATGATCATGGAGAATAGGGGGATAATCTATATTGCAGAAGAAGAAAGAAGGAAGGGAATGAAAAGAGACACTTATATGAGAAATAGAAAATTTCAATTAAAAAGGTTGTACCCAATGCATAAGGCTCTTGCCTATTGCAGGTCTGGGCCAGGTAAGTACTAAGCATCCTTACCCGCATTTTACAGAGAAAATTCTAACCCGTAATTAATATTTTAATAGCCAAAACTATGTCTTCCCTTCCATAAGCCCCAGTATCTGCAACACATACAACCAAAAAGTAAGAAACAAAAACATAAAATAAAATATTCCAAATTTAAATCCTTAAACTTAATCTTCGCCCAAGCTATCCAGTTCCTTTGCATTCCCCATCTGCTCTTTAGGTTATTCATCACTATTTATTGATCTAAAAGTTTTTATCAATTTAAACAACCAAGCATTGATGATTTCAAGTTATGAAGCACGGACACTCTCGAGAAGGTGACGTATCTGTGTTGGACACCGACACTATTCGGACACATGACTGATAATTTTTTATCTGTGTCCATAATTAAATGACAAGATTTTAATTTTGGACACGTGTCAGACACTTCTTGGGTGACTTGTCCGCACTTCTTTAGAACGTGTCTACTACTAAATAATAAACATGTGTTGAAATGTGATTAACAAAGTTTAAAAATTTGAGAACATATAATTACTAACACTAGACATTTTAAAGTTGTACTCTAAATATAACAATAAAAATAAAAGATGTATAAAAATTTTAAACTTGATGGTTATTGACTATTATGATGATATTTTAGTCAAAAAATTCACACAGATGACTAGACATAAGATTTACTTATCATAAAATACTAAATCTTTTATGAATTTTATATTACTTTTTTTGCAATAAATTATATAATGCTATATATAAAATATAATTTTTTGTAGTGTGTCACCAATGTGTCCTGTCCTACTTTTTTGAGAAATGTCATGTCGGCATGTCCGTGTCATGTCGTATTCGTGTCCATGTATGCTTCTTTTATTTCAAGGAAACTGACACCAAAGNTTATATATAAAATATAATTTTTTGTAGTGTGTCACCAATGTGTCCTGTCCTACTTTTTTGAGAAATGTCATGTCGGCATGTCGTATTCGTGTCCATGTATGCTTCTTTTATTTCAAGGAAACTGACACCAAAGGGAAGTGGGGTAAAACGAAGTTCCATGGTTTCCAATGAGACTAGGATGTTTTGGTTGAAACATAACAAAACTTGTTGGACCACATAGAAACTCACCAGACTATAATCATTTGGTCCATACTTCCAGAATTTCTAGGGTGAATTTTTTTTCCTTCAATTTGTCCTATGAAAGAGGAACTAAATGCACAAAAACATCCTTATATTTTTATGGAGATTGGAGAAAAATATTGAAATGTGAGAGCAGTGAGCCGTACTATCATATTTTTTTGGAAAGCGAGTTCTCTCTCTTTTTTTAGTTGCCTTAGAGGTTTTTTTCTTTTTCTTTTTTCCCTTTCCCAGAAATAACCATGGGGGAGTCCAAAGGTTGAAGCAGGAGCGATGACGAGTGTTCATCCTCACAAGCGATAAAGAAAAATGAAAATTTTGGGGATTGTAGATTATATGATGTTGGACTATCTAAACTCTTACCTCTTTTGAAATACGTCTTCATTTGGCATTCTTAACTAACTCAAAAAAATAGGTTGTTTGTGTTGACCATTAAAGTAAGCTTATTGTAGCTGGAAAGTCAAATCTTATTTTTAAACACCTCCATTGTTCCCATGCAATCAGATGCTTTAAAAAAACTAACTGATCAATCACGTGATTTGTAAGCTTTGCTTATTTTGTTTTTCAAATTTATGCGCATTCTGAAAAGGTCTTGAGAAGTTTTTTCAAACAGTTCGTTTGATCTGCGAAGCTGTTCAAAGTGTGTCAGAATATTTAATTTGGCAGTTGATTACATCTCTTAGGGAGTTACTCATTTTTTTTCTTTCCAAGTGACTCATAGATCAATCATATTATGGTCTACTTTTATTGCATATATATATGTTTTGTTCTATAACTTCTGACTCTTTGCAGGTTTGGAATTTGGACAGCAGATGTATAGTTTGTAGTTTACAATGGGAATCCAATATAACAGCGTTCTCTGTGATCTCCGGTTCCGTCTTCATGTACAAGACTGGTTAAGAAATAAAAATATTGTTGTGTCACAGCATAAATATCAGCCACCGAGTGGCTGGGGACTTGCTAGCTGCTACTTAATGTATTTGTCTGTTGTCAAATACAGGTATATTGGAGATGAATATGGCTTTGTGTCTGTGTTGAAGTATGAGGCTGACGATGGAGAGCTTTTGCAATTGCCATACCATATTTCTTCGAGTTCTCTTACTGGTAACTTTGTTGTGCACTTAACGCTGCTCATAATCTACTTTTGGAACTATTATCATTCATTCGGTTTTCGTCTCTGTATCTGTAAATTGGGTCCAGTGAGATGAATATCTGGCTTGGTACAAAACTATTTTTAATCTAAAACAGATGTGCTACGCTAAGGGCCAGTGATTGGTGACATGGTCTTTATTTGTATTAAAACTAGAAAACTCTATCAAGATATGAAATGCAAATTTTGTGAAGTTCCTACGGCCTATATTCAGGAATGAAACATAATCCCCCTGATTTCACCAAAGGAAATATGTGTTATTCTCTTCTACTCAATGAGTCTCTAATCCTAGTATCTTCAGTAGTGTTTTTTCCGTAATCCTATTCTCGACTCATCTTCTTCAGGGTATCATCTTCTTTTGAAGCATGTGGTTGCTTGAAATCAACATCCCAATTTCTTTTGCCATGAAGAGCTGATTGACCTTATCTTTGTTTTCACATTGAAGTCAGGATCTCACCAGTCCAGATTTTGATGTGCTTTTGGCTTTGTTTGGCTTCGATATATATGATGACATTGTTTTATGTTATTTTGCAGAAGCAGCTGGGGTTCCCTTTCCCAATCAACAAACTGTTGTTGGAGTTCTTCCCCAACCTTGTTCTTCTGGAAATAGGCAAGATAGTTCTTGACATGTCATTGATACTGTGTGGTGCAAAGCACTTTTATGCAATAGATATTCAAGGTTTTCTCACTAACAAGCTTTAAGTACTTGACTATTCTTTTCTTTTTCATTCTTTACTTTTCATTTTTCTCTTCCACTCCTTTCATTATTCCGTGATAAACATTATAACGTAGTTACAATACGAGCCAAAAGCACCGAAACTGAAATATCACAATTAGTGAAGAGATGAAACACAATTGTATGGGTATTCCAGTGATTTCTGACTTGAAGACAATAACAAATTTGCTACCCTGATCATAGGTATATACTCAAGAGAATTTTATTTTTGTGGCAGCCATAGGAACTATTACAGATGTTCAAACTAGATATGTATTGCTTTAAATTTATATCTACATGCCCCTGTTTGTGCACAAATTAGCAAATTTTTGTTTCCTAATGACTGGAAGGTCTGTATGTAGCATGACAGTTTTTTCTTACACGGAAGTTAAAAAAGGTTCTGTTTCCTGTAATGAGACTCAAATAGATGGTCAATGAAATATCATACTAAAATTGCTAAATGATGGTTCTTTTGCAGAGTACTGATTGCATATGAGAGCGGGTTGATTATTCTTTGGGATACTGTTGAAGCTTGTATAGTTACTGTTAGAGGTGATAAGGCTCTCCAACTGAGGGATGGAGTACTTGATTCTGCGAATGAAGCACATACCAGCCTTCCAGATGATACATGCCTTTCAGACGAGAAAGAGATAAGCGCCCTTTGCTGGGCTTCTTCAAGTGGGTCTGTTCTTGCTGTGGGATACATCGATGGCGATATCTTGTTTTGGAAAACTTTAACAGCGGCTTCTAGTAAAATTCAACAAGCTGGACCATCACATAATAATGTTGTTAAATTACAGTTGTCTTCTGCTGAGAGGAGACTTCCTGTCATTGTCTTGCACTGGTGCACAAGCCATAAGCCCCATCATGATGGTGATGGGCTACTTTTTGTCTATGGTGGTGATGAGATAGGATCTGAGGAAGTTCTTACGGTGGGTGATCAACTTGATAGCTACCGCGATCCATCTTTTAGCGTTATTCTATTATTGATGTCAAGTTAGTAGTGTCTATTGACAAATTTATGAGATGATCCCACCTTTTCACTAGTGCGAATGATTTAAATGGGGTTACCTTTCACCAATGGTTTGACATGTTTATGAAATCAAAGATATAAATTGAATACCTTATACAAGCAAGGTGTAAAGTTGGTTGTGCATGCTAATTATCCCGTATGATATGCATATTCAAGTTTTGAAGCATTTTCCCTCGGATGCAATTTCTATTTCTCTGTCTCTACGTTGAGCTTCATGCAGAGGTGCTGCCATCTCCACAATAGTAGTCTTGAAACTATTTTGATGTAAGAAGCAAACCTGAAGTAATTTTTGTAGCATGACATTATACTTTCAAGTCATGAAAGAAAAGAGCTCCCCTCAACATCCCCGGGCCACCAAAAAACTAAAACGAACACACACACACACACACACAAATGGAAAAAAGGAACGAGAAAAAGCAGTAATGTTTTCAGTTTCATCATTGAGCATTGTTAAGTACTCTGGTTATTAATATATATTTTANCACAAATGGAAAAAGGGAACGAGAAAAAGCAGTAATGTTTTCAGTTTCATCATTGAGCATTGTTAAGTACTCTGGTTATTAATATATATTTTATTCTCAGCAATTAGAGATTCTTTTGATATTTTGTCCCCCAATTGCAGGTTATCAGTCTTAAATGGTCATCTGGGATGGAGTCCTTAAGTTGTGTTGGTCGTGTGGACCTCACACTTTCTGGCTCTTTTGCAGACATGATTTTATTAGCAACTGCTGGGGCGGCAGGAAATGATCACAATGCTGCTCTATTTGTATTGACAAATCCTGGGCAGCTGCAAGTTTTTGAGAGTGCTAGCTTATCTGCCTCTATATCTCGGCAAGAGAAGAAAATATCTGTCTCTTCTGTGGAAGTTCCTGTTCTAATACCTACATTTAATCCATTCATGACAGTGGCAGAGCTCTTTTGTTTGCCTAAAGGTGGAGACTCATCAACGACTCTGTCAGAGGTATTGCAGATCCCGATCCATATTAATTTATTCAATTTTTTGATGGTTCTGTCTTGTTCAAGATCCTATAGTTTTCTCTTCCCTTATACCATTAACCACAATTTTTTTGTGTTTAAATAGATAGCCTCACTCAAGAAACTTGGTTCTGCATCAAACTTGTCTGGGAGCACAAAGTGGCCCTTGACTGGAGGCATATCCAATCATTTATCTTTTGCTGAGGACAACAGGATTGAGAGAGTTTATGTAGCAGGTTATCAAGATGGATCTATTCGCATATGGGATTCCACATACCCAGTCTTATCAGTTCTTTCTGTTATAGAAAGTGAGGTTAGAATTTCATTTACTTATATGCCAAAAATAATTTGTTATTTAAGTATACATATTCATCTGAACAAACGAGATTTTTGTGGTACTTCACACCCCATTATCTCGCTTGACTAGCAGGTTAAAGGTATAAACTTGGCTGCTTCAAGTGCTTCAGTATCAAAAGTGGATTTTTGCTTCCTCACTTTAAACTTAGCGGTTGGCAATGAATGTGGTCTGGTCAGAATTGCTTCCTTATTAGATACTTATTTCGAGGCCGATTATACTTGTATCCTTTATTTATTTCCTTATTGTTTTGAACTGATGTAGGTCCGTCTTTATGACCTCAATGGCCGTTTGCATGAGAAAAGCTTTCATTATGTCACAGAATCTAAAAATGAAGGTGATCTTGTTAATGCCAATAATCTTGTAATAAGAAACAGCATTTCCTAAAAGGTTGTATGTTCTTTCACATTAAGCAGTTCTATATTTGAGATGATTATAGGAGCTATTCCTATAATGGTAGAACTTCTACAGAATCATCCAGCTCATACAAGGTCCGTGTGAGGCACAAAACCAAGAAGAAAACTTTTATGATTTATGACAACTTCTAGGAGAAAGAGATTTTAGCTTAGGTGGACTGTGAGTTGGTGGGAAAGTACTCCAGTTAGATTCCACCTATACCATGCATTTCTAGCTGTATCACGTTTTTTGGTCGGTGGAAGTGTATCTAGTAGTATACAGCAAAAGTGAATTTACATGCTTTTGCTATGCAACTTATATAATTGATCACGTCCTAGTAATTATTGTACTTCATGCATGCCCAATTTCCTAGGCATGTTTGTGTAAAAAGTCTTTCCTTTACATGAGCTCTATGCAGTATGATATGTTCAAGTTCTTGTTTCTTGATCATCTCTGTGACGTTCTCTTGACATACTGTAATAACTGAATGTATCTTCATGATATTAACATAATGCAACTCGTTTCACAGTTCATAATTTGCCCCCATCTCAAGGACCCTCCTGCAGAGCTGTTTTTAGCCTTCTCAATTCGTCCGTTCAAACACTGGAGTTCGCAAATCATGGATCCAGACTTGTTGTAGGATATGAATGTGGTCGTGTAAGTATAATAATTATTTTCCCTATTGTTTCAGGAGTTGTATTATTATGTGGTGATTAGGGTACGCGATTTCAATTGCTCCATTTCAGGTTGCAGTGCTTGATATGAGTTCATTATCAGCTTTGTTCTTAACTGACTGCCTCTCTAGCCCTAGCTCTCCTGTGATTTCAGTGAATTGGAAAACATTTCTGAGTACTGATGGTCACATCAATAGGCAAAAACACTCGGGATCAAAAGATTCAGACTACCCTGTGCAGGAATTGATGTTTATTTTAACTAAAAATGCCACCGCTCTTGTTATTGATGCCAGTACCGNTGATGGTCACATCAATAGGCAAAAACACTCGGGATCAAAAGATTCAGACTACCCTGTGCAGAAATTGATGTTTATTTTAACTAAAAATGCCACCGCTCTTGTTATTGATGCCAGTACCGGTAATCTGATCAGCTCACGTCCAATGCGATTAAAGGAGTCAACTGTGGTTTCTATGTATGTTATAGGCAAGTACAACTTTTGTTTAGGAAGTATTAGTATGTTTTTATATTTGGGTTGCACTTTAACTCATATTTTTGAACGCCAGAGGGCAACATAGCAGGTTCTGGATTACTAGATGAAAAGCAGCTGCAGCAGTCGTCCAAGGATGACGTGATGAGGAATGAACCTTCTCAAGACATAACTGCAAGTGGAAGTAATCAACATGAGATAGAACATCATTCTTCTTCGGAGAATATCCATTTTGGAAAAAGTATGAAGGATTCACTTGTTTTGCTTTGTTGTAAAGATGCTTTACGTTTATACTCCACAACATCTGTGATTCAGGTGAGTCTATTGCCTGCTTTTTTATCACCTCCAATGATATTGTATGTTTGTCCGCAAACTAAGGTCAGTGTCTTAATAGGGGGACAATAAATCTATTCGGAAAGTGAAACTTGCAAAGACCTGTTGTTACGCAACCACGGTTATGAAAGATGAGAAAGTTTGTGGAGTGGTGTTAGTATATCAGACCGGAGAAATAGAAATTAGGTAAGATATCAACATGTTAGCTATTTTTGCTCAGGTTGTTAAAACTTTTTTTTCCAAATAATTATGACTATGATAACACCAATCCCCTTTTCTCTCCCTCCCTCTGGATTAGCTCCTTCAGCTACAATTCTTAAAAGTTAACATTATGTGATTATGTCTATCTTCATGCAGATCTGTGCCAGATCTAGAGTTGGTGAAGGAGACCTCCTTAATATCAATTTTAAGGTGGAATTATAAGGCAAACATGGACAAAATGATGGGTTCTACAGATAATGGGCATATTACCCTGGTATTCTTATACTAGTATTCCCAAAGTTGTTAGAGCCTAAAAAGTTCAAGATATGGCTTGTTATTTCATTTACGTTAAATCTGAAGGAATCCTTAAAAATGCACTTACATTTTCCTTTAACTGCATTGCATAAAATGAAGCCACAAGCCATTCACAACTATTGTTTCTTTATCTTTGGTAATGTTCATGTCTTGCACCTGTTGTAATTCATTTAAGACATCTTTCTAAGTGTCTTTATAGGCAAATGGAGGCGAAGTGGCTTTTATCTGTCTATTAGCCAATGAAAATGATTTCAGGTATCCTGACTATCTGTGCTTTTAGCTCTTGCTATTTGTCAGTGCATCCTCCTAGCATAATGGTAGATTGTCTAATTAAACCAAATATGCTAAAAGGACTGCATTGATTGTCCTAGGATTCCAGAATCTTTGCCATCTCTACATGATAAAGTTCTTGCAGCAGCAGCAGAGGCTGCCTTAAACTTTTCTTCAAGTCACACAAAAAAACAGGTTCAAATATTTGATACTGATTTCCTGTTATTGGTTTTTACGATTTTGCTTCTTTTTCTTATGTAAGAAACTACAGGGTGTTGGGCCCGGTATTCTGGGTGGTATCGTTAAGGGGTTTAAAGGGGGAAAAGTCAACCATGCAATGGATCTTGTTAGCTCTTCTAAATCTAATTTTAGCCATCTAAAGGACACCTTTTCAAGGAACCCTTTCCCAGACCCATCTCCTACCACTACAGAGAATCAGGAAGCCATCGAGCTTAATATAGGTTCTACCTATCTCTATTTCTAGTTTTCTACATGTTCTTTCTCCTGTTTATACTTTGTGCCTAATTGCATACTTTTATTTTTGTACAGATGATATTGAAATTGATGAGCCTCCATCTGTGGCGTCTACTTCATCCCATAAGTTACAAAATAATGAGACAGGTAGACACGACATATGGAGCAATGATGTGTGTTCTGGAAAAATGTAGAGAAACCAATTATGTTTACTGTTTTGTGCAGGAAAGGGATCTGAAAGAGAAAAACTGTTTGATGGTGATGGTGCTGATGCAAAGCCCAGACTTAGGACACGTGAAGAAATTATAGCAATATATAGAAAGGCCGGGGTAATTGCATAAGTTGGTGCTATTTTGCTCTTCCTAACAACCAGACTCCCTATCAATCAATGAAAAAGTTCTAAAAACTCAAATCCATCCTTTTTCAACAGTTTTTCTAAAGTTTTAAAAACCCCAATCCATCCTTTTTCAACAGTTTTTCTAACAGATTTTGCTTCTTTGACAATGAACTGATTCCAGGATGCCTCTTCAGTGGCTGGACAAGCAAGAAACAAGCTTCTAGAACGCCAGGAAAAGCTTGAGGTGGGTTTGCCTTTAAGAAATGATACTATTCATTCATCAGTAGTATTAGACTGAAGTGCGTGTCTTGTATCTGGAATTTTAATGGGGATTAGGGAAAGGGGCGTAAAAGAAAATGATGAAAGAATAAAGCACAAGCTGTTTTTGGTATAGATTGTAAAGAGTGAGGAGAGGGAATGATGTGAAGGTAGTGGTAAAGGTGGTTGTGGCTGCGTTTTTTGGGAGAGAAGAGAACCAATATGAAGATATTGGTAGAAATAGTAGTGGTATTCTGGCATTGGGTGGTGGTGAATCTGGTGTTGGTGGAACTTTGATCCACTGTTGTAGATTTACTTTCATTCAATCGAGTTGGCTACCGATGTTACAAATGGATCATTGCTTGGAGTTTTCATTACCTTCATGCAATTATGACTTCTTTAACCTTGAAAATTTTACTTAACCTGTCCTCTTTTCTTCTGTCAGAGGATAAGCAAGCGAACCGAAGAACTGCAGAGTGGTGCGGAAGACTTCGCATCATTAGCAAATGAGCTTGTAAAAGCAATGGAACGTAGAAAGTGGTGGCAAATATGAACACAAGTTGTTTAGGCGCTTCGATTCTTTGTATAGGATTTGTCCCAAGGGCAGGGTGGAGCTTTCTCAGAGGTATTCAGAAGCCAATGCATCATTTTAATACACAAGCAGCAGACGATTAAGAAGGAAGCACAACAAATTCACCTGATGGCGCAAACCATGCTACCATATCTGATAAAATCGAAATATGCTAGAGAAGGAATTGCCTGCCTCGAGTTGCAGGAGTTTCTTCTTTTATTTGTTAACATTTATAGTTTCAAGTGAGCAATTTATCAATGTATTAATTTTGCAGATAATTTTTTTTTTCCTTCAAAAGGGGGTGAATGGGTACATGGACTTGGGTGAACATGTTGCATATTGGGAAATATAGAATCTTCAGTTGAAAGTACCACAACTCTTCTATATTTACACAAAATCTCCTTTGTAAGAAAGGTTAAAAAAAAGAGAAGTGTTATTATAAATTCAAACGTTTTGAGTTCGAATCTTGACAGTCTTCTAGGGTCAGGATTTATCCCTTATGAATACTCTAGTCCTGACGTGGATGACGTGTTTTTGATTGGATTAGAAAAGAAATTAGTCGAAGTGTGCGTAATTGATCTAAACACCCTTGATTGTGAAATAAAAAAAAAAAAAGAGATGTATTATTTGTAAAGGTAGAATACATATTAATGAGTAACCATCATAAAAATGGTTATTGGTCTTTTGAGAAAATATAATGTATCAATTCAAATCCACAACNACGAAGTTTGCGTAATTGATCTAAATACCCTTGATTGTGAAATAAAAAAAAAAAGATGTATTATTTGTAAAGGTAGAATACATATTAATGAGTAACCATTATAAAAATGGTTATTGGTCTTTTGAGAAAATATAATGTATCAATTCAAATCCACAACGTTGTAAATTTTCATGGAAGTGAACCCTTGCCACTGCTAACCAAGACAAGTTATCCTAATCCAAAATGACTGCTATGTTTTTGTTTTGAGGATATATGTTTGGATGGTGTTTTACAACCTCACCACACAATGGCATTAGCAGTTATCTAACTGTGATATAGACAACTTTGAGTAACTTTAGTAGCTTATAGCAAAAATAAACTATAATTTTTAAGAATCACAGTGAATAACGATTTATGATCGATCAATTCTTTTGAATAATGTTTATCAATTATTTAGAGAATCAAAGAGAATGAGAGAGAGAGAGACTTCAAAAGCAAGTGAATCGCCTTTTTAATTTTTATTAACTTCGTTTACGATGTATCAAAAATTAAGTGAGATTAAATAAATAATGATCAATTCAAAGAAATATTAACCGTCATGATCACTTCAAGGGGTATTACTTATTAGTCGCTTTTTTCTTTTACATGTTATAATATATATATCATTTGCCCGTACATGAAGACACTATTTTACTTATAAAATTTTAACACACAAAGATAAGATGTTTGAATAATTTCAACACATAACGGTTAGATTGATTTTGAATATTTTTTGTTGGTGCAATTGATATTTTATTTTTTTTGTATTGGTCACTTATTTTTTTTTAATTGCTGATTAACTTGGGCTTTGAATTTTTTTTTTAATTTTCTGAGTACTATATGTTTTCATACAGTAGTGATTTATTTTTTATATGAATAGTAACTTGATTTTATATATAGATTATAAAGACAATTTAAACTTCATTGATTGATAAGAAGTAATAAGTAAACATAAACCACCTGTACTAAAATGCGTGATAAGAAGATCTACTTATGGTGTATTTTAGGTATGAATCAATTTGTAATAAAAAAGGTGAAAAATTATATAGTAAGTATATAATGATTTTTAATGAAATATTATACCAAAGATTTTGAAAAATTCGATATACTAATTGCATGTCAAAAAATGGTGACATTGTCCATTTAGGTACTGATTTTTGTATTGTAGTGACGATATGTATGCGGTTATTGAGATCAAATGTTAAACTGTCAAACTTTGAAAAAGAAGCACTAAACTTAGANTTAATGAGTAACCATCATAAAAATGGTTATTGGTCTTTTGAGAAAATATAATGTATCAATTCAAATCCACAACGTTGTAAATTTTCATGGAAGTGAACCCTTGCCACTGCTAACCAAGACAAGTTATCCTAATCCAAAATGACTGCTATGTTTTTGTTTTGAGGATATATGTTTGGATGGTGTTTTACAACTTCACCACACAATGGCATTAGCAGTTATCTAACTGTGATATAGACAACTTTGAGTAACTTTAGTAGCTTATAGCAAAAATAAACTATAATTTTTAAGAATCACAGTGAATAACGATTTATGATCGATCAATTCTTTTGAATAGTGTTTATCAATTATTTAGGGAATCAAAGAGAAGGAGAGAGAGAGAGAGAGACTTCAAAAGCAAGTGAATCCCCTTTTTAATTTTTATTAACTTCGTTTACAATGTATCAAAAATTAAGTGAGATTAAATAAATAATGATCAATTCAAAGAAATATTAACCGTCATGATCACTTCAAGGGGTATTACTTATTAGTCGCTTTTTTCTTTTACATGTTATAATATATATATCATTTGCCCGTACATGAAGACACTATTTTACTTATAAAATTTTAACACACAAAGATAAGATGTTTGAATAATTTTAACACATAACGGTTAGATTGATTTTGAATATTTTTTGTTGGTGCAATTGATATTTTATTTTTTTTGTATTGGTCACTTATTTTTTTTTAATTGCTGATTAACTTGGGCTTTGAATTTTTTTTTTAATTTTCTAAGTACTATATGTTTTCATACAGTAGTGATTTATTTTTTATATGAATAGTAACTTGATTTTATTTATAGATTATAAAGACAATTTAAACTTCATTGATTGATAAGAAGTAAGAAGTAAACATAAATCACCTGTACTAAGATGCGTGATAAGAAGATCTACTTATGGTGTATTTTAGGTATGAATCAATTTGTAATAAAAAAGGTGAAAAATTATATAGTAAGTATATAATGATTTTTAATGAAATATTATACCAAAAATTTTGAAAAAATCGATATACTAATTGCATGTCAAAAAATGGTGACATTATCCATTTAGGTACTGATTTTTGTATTGTAGTGACGATATGTATGCGGTTATTGAGGTCAAATGTTAAACTGTCAAACTTTGAAAAAGAAGCACTAAACTTAGGGATATTTATGTATTTTATGTGTGTTTAATAGAAACATTTTTAATTTTATGCAAAATTTTATCGTAAAATTAAAAATTAAACAAAACTAACCTAAATAAAGGTACAAACAATACACTTTAACATATAACATTTAGATCATTTAATTTAAAATGAATTCAATCTGAGTTGTTATTGTGTTTTTTCAAATTTAAGATAGAGACGTATGAAAGATAGGAGTGTAGAGTCTTACGATAAAAGACTTCTTCATGAGCGGGAAAAAAATTTCAGGACTACTTGTAGACCGTTAGATCAAAATTTTTGAGATGATCTGATTCGTCTTTTATGTTGGAATTACGTTATCCGTTAGATGTATTTATGTTTTATCTTAAAACGATCTCGACCTCTCTTTGTCTTTTAAATTTAAACTTCGTTCTACTTTATTATATATATAAAATAAAACAGGAAAGAACTTGAATTTTATTTTACATCTATTTTCTCTTCCAAAATTATCCTATCCAACCTAACTGAATCTAACCCAACGCATCCATCACATCAGACTTTAATATTCTGACCAATTTTATTTCACTAAAGTCATGACATTAAAAATACATTTTATACTTTCAGCTTAATGCGTGTTTATATTTGGTGTTTGATTGTTCGTGTTCAAAAATTTTATATGTTTTTTAATTGTACAGTATCTTTAGGCACGGATTATAGGGCAGTTTTGGCTTTCAACTTATTAAGCATCCAAGCTTAGTGCTTATTTTTTTTTAATTGCACCGTACCTTGATGTTCCTCTATATATATATATATATATTTAAAAGACATTTTTACCCTTTAACTTCCCTGAAAACGTCTGAGTGGTCTTTTACGCCCCCAAACCCAAAGATAACACAAAATCTCTCTCTCTCTCTCTCCTGCGATGGATCGAGCTCAGCTTCTTCTGATCGGGTTACCCCTCTTCCTGTTTTGCTCAGACATCGTCAACCTCTTCGTGCCACGCCCACCGCCACCGAAACCGGCCCAGCAGCAGCAGCANTTAAACTTCATTGATTGATAAGAAGTAAGAAGTAAACATAAATCACCTGTACTAAGATGCGTGATAAGAAGATCTACTTATGGTGTATTTTAGGTATGAATCAATTTGTAATAAAAAAGGTGAAAAATTATATAGTAAGTATATAATGATTTTTAATGAAATATTATACCAAAAATTTTGAAAAAATCGATATACTAATTGCATGTCAAAAAATGGTGACATTATCCATTTAGGTACTGATTTTTGTATTGTAGTGACGATATGTATGCGGTTATTGAGGTCAAATGTTAAACTGTCAAACTTTGAAAAAGAAGCACTAAACTTAGGGATATTTATGTATTTTATGTGTGTTTAATAGAAACATTTTTAATTTTATGCAAAATTTTATCGTAAAATTAAAAATTAAACAAAACTAACCTAAATAAATGTACAAACAATACACTTTAACATATAACATTTAGATCATTTAATTTAAAATGAATTCAATTTGAGTTGTTATTGTGTTTTTTCAAATTTAAGATAGAGACGTATGAAAGATAAGAGTGTAGAGTCTTACGATAAAAGACTTCTTCATGGGCGGGAAAAAAATTTCAGGACTACTTGTAGACCGTTAGATCAAAATTTTTGAGATGATCTGATTCGTCTTTTATGTTGGGATTACATTATCCGTTAGATGTATTTATGTTTTATCTTAAAACGATCTCGACCTCTCTTTGTCTTTTAGATTTAAACTTCGTTCTACTTTATTATATATATATATATAATAAAACAGGAAAAAACTTGAATTTTATTTTACATCTATTTTCTCTCCCAAAATTATCCCATCCAACCTAATTGAATCTAACCCAATGCATCCATCACATCAGACTTTAATATTCTGACCAACTTTATTTCACTAAAGTCATGACATTAAAAATATATTTTATACTTTCAGCTTAATGCATGTTTATATTTGGTGTTTGATTGTTCGTGTTCAAAAATTTTATATATATTTTAATTGTACAGTATCTTTAGCCACGGATTATAGGGCAGTTTAGGCTTTCAATTTATTAAGCATCCAAGCTTAGTGCTTATTTTTTTTTAATTGCACCGTACCTTCGGATATGGATATTCCTCTATATATATATATATATATATATTTAAAAGACATTTTTACCCTTTAACTTCCCTGAAAACGNAAGTACTATATGTTTTCATACAGTAGTGATTTATTTTTTATATGAATAGTAACTTGATTTTATTTATAGATTATAAAGACAATTTAAACTTCATTGATTGATAAGAAGTAAGAAGTAAACATAAATCACCTGTACTAAGATGCGTGATAAGAAGATCTACTTATGGTGTATTTTAGGTATGAATCAATTTGTAATAAAAAAGGTGAAAAATTATATAGTAAGTATATAATGATTTTTAATGAAATATTATACCAAAAATTTTGAAAAAATCGATATACTAATTGCATGTCAAAAAATGGTGACATTATCCATTTAGGTACTGATTTTTGTATTGTAGTGACGATATGTATGCGGTTATTGAGGTCAAATGTTAAACTGTCAAACTTTGAAAAAGAAGCACTAAACTTAGGGATATTTATGTATTTTATGTGTGTTTAATAGAAACATTTTTAATTTTATGCAAAATTTTATCGTAAAATTAAAAATTAAACAAAACTAACCTAAATAAAGGTACAAACAATACACTTTAACATATAACATTTAGATCATTTAATTTAAAATGAATTCAATCTGAGTTGTTATTGTGTTTTTTCAAATTTAAGATAGAGACGTATGAAAGATAGGAGTGTAGAGTCTTACGATAAAAGACTTCTTCATGAGCGGGAAAAAAATTTCAGGACTACTTGTAGACCGTTAGATCAAAATTTTTGAGATGATCTGATTCGTCTTTTATGTTGGAATTACGTTATCCGTTAGATGTGTTTATGTTTTATCTTAAAACGATCTCGACCTCTCTTTGTCTTTTAAATTTAAACTTCGTTCTACTTTATTATATATATAAAATAAAACAGGAAAGAACTTGAATTTTATTTTACATCTATTTTCTCTTCCAAAATTATCCTATCCAACCTAACTGAATCTAACCCAACGCATCCATCACATCAGACTTTAATATTCTGACCAATTTTATTTCACTAAAGTCATGACATTAAAAATACATTTTATACTTTCAGCTTAATGCGTGTTTATATTTGGTGTTTGATTGTTCGTGTTCAAAAATTTTATATGTTTTTTAATTGTACAGTATCTTTAGGCACGGATTATAGGGCAGTTTTGGCTTTCAACTTATTAAGCATCCAAGCTTAGTGCTTATTTTTTTTTAATTGCACCGTACCTTGATGTTCCTCTATATATATATATATATATTTAAAAGACATTTTTACCCTTTAACTTCCCTGAAAACGTCTGAGTGGTCTTTTACGCCCCCAAACCCAAAGATAACACAAAATCTCTCTCTCTCTCTCTCCTGCGATGGATCGAGCTCAGCTTCTTCTGATCGGGTTACCCCTCTTCCTGTTTTGCTCAGACATCGTCAACCTCTTCGTGCCACGCCCACCGCCACCGAAACCGGCCCAGCAGCAGCAGCACCACCACCACCAACCCCAACCCCAACCGCAACAAGGGATTCAGCAAACCCTGGATTTCCCTGCGCAGGTCAATTAGTAACTTTTTTTGACTTTTACCCTCCGAAAACTTCAAATTTACGACTAACTCCCTAATGGATTTTGTTCAATTTGTAGAAAACTAGCGCTGTTGGAGCAATCGGCATCGGCAACACCGTCAAAATCGATTACTGCTCCTCTTGTTCCTACAGGTGCGTGCGTGTGTGTGTGTGTGGATGTGCGAATTGATTTATATTAAAATAATAATTAATTCAATGCACTATAAATTTATGCGGCACCTTAAACTGAGTGATGAAATCAGCTTTTTCATTCTTAAGGGAATATGGTTGTTGATTGATGCCATGGTTAAGGACAAGATAGTTATTGAGCAGACGACTGATTTTGATGTTAAATGATTTGGTTGTGAAGTCAGTAGAAATTTGGAGTAAATATGGAAGTACTTTAATTACTGAAGAACAAAATGAACTCGAGGCTGTAGAAAGAATATAAAGGATTATGAATAGTGTTTCGGGGAGAAGTAATTATTATGTAGCCTTACAGACCTTGGTTGTATTTAAGTTTTGTTGATTGAGTATCTTATGTATTACCGTGTGCTCGTGTTCGTGAAATCAATTTTTTCATAATCTATGTAGATTATAATTTGAGGTCATTTTAATACATAATATGCGTGTGTCTATAAGTAGGTTATTATGGTTATTCCTTTTTTTTCAACATTAATGGATTGCTATTAATGGGAAATTGTAACGCGTTCTGTTGCAGTTTAAGTTTCTGTTTTATCCACAATAACCTTGTAGTTACTATTTATTCTCCAGAGGGACTGCAGCGACTATGAAGAATATGCTAGAAACTCAATTTCCTGGGATGGATGTTATTCTTGAAAACTACCCCCCTCCACTTCCAAAACGATTATTGAGCAAAGTTGTGCCTGTCGTTCAGTTTGGTGTTATTGGTATCATTATGGCTGGCGAGCAAATCTTCCCAAAGTTGGGATTTGTGGCACCACCTCCTTGGTACCACTCTTTGCGTGCAAATAGGTTTGGAAGCATGGCAAGCACTTGGCTTCTTGGGAATTTCCTTCAATCCTTCTTGCAAAGTTCTGGTGCTTTTGAAGTGTACTGTAATGGTGAATTGGTATAGTTCTTTTCTCTTGCATTAATGGCTGATGCCAGCTTTTAGTTAATTAATTTATGCTTTGCTTGTTAGTAGTGTTTTTAATTTTAGACAGCTTTGAGGGACTGTAAGGGTTTATAGGAGGAGATAAAAGATAGGGCGATGCAATTTTTCCCTTTTTTGGGTTCTGAAGAGGAGCTTTGAATAATAATAATAATAATATGCCTGATTCCTCTATCTTTGTTTCTTTCTCTCTGTCTTGTTTGCCTTGGCCGCCTTTTTTTTCTGGTCAACCAAGTGTGAGTACATTTTTTTTGTGGCTTACTGGAGTTGTACCTAATGCAAAGCGTCATCATTGTTCCTTGGATCACCCCAAGATACATAATTTCTATTATATTCGAAAAACGTTTATCCAATTTGACCAGATTTAAAATATTTTGTCACTTATGTACTCACGCACTCGCTCTCAGAACTGCTCCTTCTCTGTGTGAATTATGTTTTGCCATCTTAAGCTTCGATCCTAGAATTTCCCTTCTCAAACAATGGTGTCGATCAAACTGCTATAGTTCAGATTCCTGGGATTAGTATGTTATTCCTTGCCAACGTATGAAATTGTATGCGGTCATCTGAAATATATGTTCATTGATAGCTTAGAAACACGTTTACTCTTTCTTCGGGAGCATTGAAGATTTCATGTCAGGCTATAATGTTTAATTGTTTAACCTTTATTTGCCAAATGATTGTGCCTACCTGCTTTTTGAATTCAAAAAACGTGGTCACTGATTTCTTGCCACAAAATTTGGTTTTTCTAATCTTTGACTGGTATCTGTTTAAGTGTGTGTAGTTGGCACTATTCAATCCTGGATCTTGAACTATGAAGATTTGTGGTTTTTANTTAAAAGGGAGAAATTACAATTACTCCGAGAAAGTTCATGATTGATCATGGACTTCTTTTGAAGAGTTGTAATTTCTCCCATATGAGTTGTAACTTGATCTTTAAAAGTTATAATTTCATTATCAATCTTAATCTATCATGATCAATCATAACCTTTAAAAGTAGTAACTTATAATTCAAAAAAAATTGTAACTTAACCTTAAATAATTATAAATTTAGGTGCGGTTCCTCTTTCGGTACCGTAGCCTTTCCCCCCATAAATTGACAATAATGTGAGGAAAAGTCCCTCAGAACTAGGTGTCTTCTTTTGTGTGTTTGCGTAGTTTGGTGTTGTGTGTGTGGTGGGGAGGGGATACGCTATGTAACTTCCAAAACATGGTGATAACAATTCTTATAAACAAGTCCTTTAGCAAGAAAAAAATTCAGAACCAGAAGATAAAGATATAGGAAAAAGAATAAAAATAATGATGCGAAAATAAGGAGTTGGTGTAAAAGAGAATCATAGTTTTTCCCATGTAATGTGGGATAAGACTTGCATACGTTTTAGCTGTAACCCATGAAAGTCGAATCTTCGACTCTGCCCCTTCCTTTCATATGTTAATCTATCACCTGATGATGATGAACTTTTGAGTGCAGACACATTTAAACAGATACAGATTAACCAGTACTCCTATGAACATTAAATTTCCTCCAATGGAATGAAATTTAGACGGCCATGGATTTGTTTTGGGATTATGCATTAGGCTAGTTGTAGCTTACATAAAATCAAATGCTAAAACTGATGGATCTTGACATAAAGCCTTAACTTTTGCCAAGTCTAGTGCCTCCCAGCAAACACAGAAACTGTGAAAACAACACACAGAGCATGAAGAAGAAAAAAATTTACTAGGATTATCCATCAGTTAAAACTTTGTACAGCCACCGCCCTTCACATAACAAATGTTTTCTTGATCCTCAAAACTTGGAAATTAGGTGGTTTTTT